CTTTTCATCACATATCTGTATTTGCCCTTATTATCTGATGTGTAGAACATCCTGACTTTAATTATTCGTCAGTGATATCCAATTAATTTGGCTAAAGTATATCCTGTATCTAATTGTCTGACATTCTTTTTAAGTCCACGGGACACTTCTTTTATCCATTTTTTATACCCCAGACTAGGAAAATAGACTCATATCAGAACAACAGCAGCCAAAGTGAAAATCATCCGTTTCAACATACCAGAGCGGCCGTTACCTCATCCCCGTCTTCCGGTAACACCAGAGGTTTCCAAAATCTTCCTGCTTTCTCAATTCATACCGAAGAAAATAAACATCACTCTCCGTTACCATATGTTGGAAAAAAGACTGACTCTCCGTGTTATAGCAGGGATGACGACACAGACCACTATGAAGAGCCGCAGACTCTTAGAGAGTTAGTTCCAGGAAGTTACTATTCCCTGAGTGAATCTTCGGCATATCTCGCACCTCGGGTCCCATCTACAGAAAAACCTCAGGTGAAGTCTTCAATTCGAGTATCTTGGGCCCCTACTCCAGGAAGACTTCCACCTCAGCCTCCCACCCCAGGAAGCCTTCCCCCCCAGCTTCATAGCCCAGGAAGGACTCTCCCTCAGCCTCCTACCCCAAGAAGGCTTCCCCCCCAGCTTCCTAACCCAGGAAGGTCTCTCCCTCAGCCTCCTACCCCAAGAAGGTTTCCCCCCCAGCTTCCTAACCCAGGAAGGTCTCTCCCCCAGCCTCCTACCCTAGCATGGCTTCCACCTCAATCCCCAACCTCACCAGATTTTCCACCACAACCTCCATTCACACCAAAGCTTGGTTCTGAGACTCAGCTCTCGCCTGCAGTAAAACTCCCACTGCCTCCTCCGAGCCAATCGCTCCTGAGACCTAACAGGCACGTAATCACCAACGGAGAGGGCACTGCGAAGATTGTAATTGTGTTTCCTTCTAAGCAAGCCACTACAAGAAATCCCCCTGAGACTTCCCAATGTAGACGACCCATAACACAAGCATTTCTCGAAATCAACAAAAATATCAATATCAAATTTAAAACATATGCGGGAATGTGAGGATGCCCTTAGAAGTTACAGCCAGTTTGTTATTTTTGTTACTGTTATTAATATTATTATCATTATTAAAATCAGTACAAAAATAATCTGCAGACGGTAACCCCTCAGATATAGGAAGACTAGTGCGGAAAACGCCGCTCGGTGTTCCCAATTTTCAGCTCTATCTACCCGTGGATACCGAGGTGAACACAACGTTTCTCGGGGGTGTAAGGAGCAGAGCCTCCATCAAGCCTCCCCTCGGGCAGTCACTCCTAGTCGCTTGCTAGATTGTTGAATAAAATTTGTGACGTGAAGTTGGATGCGTCCGTATGGAATGATTATTATTATTAGTAGTAGTAGTAGTAGTATCATTATAATTATTATCATCATTATTATCATTATTACTATTAGAATTTCATTGTTATTAGTATCATCATTACTATTTTTATTATCTTACATTTTATCGAGGCAAAGATGCACTTGGCAGGTTGGTTGACTGATGCGACGTTATAAGCATACTCATTTGACAGCTGACAAAATTTCCTTACAACAGTTTGAAATAAAATTATGTTAATTGGATATGCTACATTACTTAATCATCACTAGCCTTATAAGTACACCTTCGCTTACAAGAAAGACAGTTACAGGCAAGGAAAACTGGATGAAAAATATGTATGTAAAGCCTCGGTAATTTCTGTAAAGCCTCGGTAATTTCTTGTTTCGAACTTTCTTTTTCTACCCTCAATTCATTTCAATTATCATTTGTTGTGTGTTATTCTGTACCTTTGATTGTTAATCCACTTTATAGATCTTCAATTGTGATTAGAAAGAACCTTATATAACTTTTTTTTTCAAAATGTTACATTACATTACAAGGAATAAAACTATGCTTATGGTATATTTTGATAACCTTTCAATTTCCTTTCTCAACGAAATGGTGATCGATAATTAATCCAGATATTTTCATCTAAATTGCCACTAATTTTATTTATTAATGAATCAGTCCCTGTAAATAGTCAAATACTATATGTTTATTTTGACATTTACGAGACGAACACGTGAACCATGCTCTTTAGGGTTTAATCCAAATCACCATGAAAGTTCAACATTTTATTGCAACTCAACATTACGTTATGTGTATCCTTTTCGATGAGCAATATAGCAGCAACAGATCTGTTATCCTTCGCTCATCAGAAAATGAAAATTCCTTTCAATGTCCTTCAGATCACCCAGCTGACACAATGCTGCAATCTGGCATTAAGTGTACTGGAGAGCAACCAGCTCGTATCCGCCACCGGTCAAGCCACCCTTTGGTTAAAAAAGTCCAGTCATTAATATATATATATATATATATATATATATATATATATATATATATATATATATATATATATTAACGTATGCATATATCAATGTGTTTGTTTGTTTGTTTGAGTGTG